ACCTAAGGAGCAGCAGTATTTGTTGAAGCTACATGGTTTCCTTCCAGAGCCAGTCAGGAACCCTGATGCAAAAGGAGGCTGTCATATTTTATTTCTTAAAGAAGATAGATTTGAACATCCTTGTTGAAAAAGCAACATGAGAAGTCTGCAGCTGCACAGCAGCTTTCAGTCAGCTTTTTCCAGTGAGAGAATGACTCCCCCTAGACGGCCACGGAAGGCAGGCCACACGACAGCAGTGAGCTTCCCCTGCACGCTAAAGCGGCTGGGAGCATCATGTGCATGCAGGGTTGTGCCACGCATTGCCCTCCAAAGATGAACAGGCAAGTGGAAGTGGTGAAACAGAGTGGAAGGTGGCGGCCTTGCACCTTCCTCACTGTACACAGATACCCTGTGTACACTGGGGATAAGTTATTTCCTTTGATTCTGGGATCCAGGCACTTCAACTCTGGATAATATTAAGCAGTTATCTATTCCTCAAACCTTAGAGAAAATATACACATTTTTTGTTCTTTTTCATTTCTACTTCTTTTTGCTATTCACAAGAACTGAGGAAATCTGGTGATATCTGTCACTTGTGTGAAGAATACAGAATTGATCCTGAATGAATGCTTTATTCCAAGACAGACAGAACAGCCTTATGGTATCATTTTACAAACGATACTTGAAATGGCCTATGTGATGTTTAAATATAATTATCAAAGAATTTTGTAAATTTAGCTGGAAAGTGTCTCAAATATTGTCTTTGATTAGGAAGCAGAAGCTTAAGATCTTAGTTTTCTTTTGTTATCCTTTGTGTTTCCATAAATTTATATTGGATGTAGAAGAATAAAGACTGTTTTTCTTGTATTTCACAAAGATAACATAAATAAAATGGTCCCCAAAATTGGTTAAAAATATATCTTTCTGGTTCTAAATATACACAGCTAAACATTATAGATATATCTGTATCTGTAGATGACTGCATTAAAGTTTATTACATATTACATTAATGAAAATAAAAAATTCAGCAAAATGGAATGATATTTTTGAATAGGGAGCATTTAGTATTTGCAAAATGTATACTATGTATACTCTCATTTCATGTAATGCCACTTCTGTAATGCAATATAATATGATAGAATACTAAATCCTACATAATTAAAAAAAAAAAAAAAACACTAATCCAAAAAGAGCATGGGCCACAAGATGTCGCTATGAATCAAATTACCAAAACTCACAGGTGTAGTAAGGCTGATTAGCTCTGCAATGAACTTTCAGTATTTCAAAAATGAATTTTAAAAACTGTTTTAACATTACAATTTAAGAATGGCTTTTGTCTTACTTTTTGAAAAGCATTTAAAAAAAATTCATCAAGTATATATGCCCTCGCAATATTTTTCATTTTTCCTAATGAGTTCAGATTCTGTTAAGATTCACTTTAGATTCTGTCAAGATTTTTAGGAAGGCACTTTGCTGCTACTTGAGCAGTTTTGCTTTTCATCATAGCAGCATTTGTTGCAAATCCAAGCAGCAGAAATTTCAGCAGTGATTTTTCCTATCAGCAGATGGAGACAGAGCAGTGATAACTCTGTTTCCCAGGTAACTTTTGTGATTCCATTGGCCAGAATGCTTTACTGGCTACTTTACCCACTGGTTCAGTTTTTAGGAAATGACCAAGATTTCTCAAGAGTTTTATCAAAACTATTAAAAGAGGATTAAAAAGGAGAAAAATCTAAACTTCCATCATTTTATTGCCGGTAAGTGTAGCACCAGGATTTTGGTCCATCTCACGGAAAGCAGCTGTTAAAATAATATTCCTCTGAAGGTTCTATGATATCACACCACTTTTCAGTGAAAAAATTGTTATGTTTTTAAAATATAGGAAAATAACCTAACTTTCTGGGTTACGAATACCAGTTGAATTCAAAGAAAATGCCTTCAACAAAGTTTAACTGGGCTCTGACCAATTAGAAATTATTTTGAAAGAGAATTTTTTGATCCTATATAGCTATATCAGACAGAACATTCCTGCATCCAGCAACTACTGCTTTTCTTTGCAGTGGAAAGACTCCTGAAGTAGCTGATAAAAGCAAAAGTGGCAATCGTGGACTCCTGTAATCAAGGACTATTTCCTGTTCCAACATGACTGAATCCTGCTGCCAAAGGGATGCAGTAACCATAGCCTGGCACCACAGGCAGGCAGCATGAACAGTCTGCTGGCTGCAGCCAGCGTCGGGTGGGCTGAGCCACAACACGAAGCAGTGTAAACATCTTTTCTCAGTCACAGATTAATTCTCTGTCATTTTGTGTACCTTGTTATGGAATCTGGGCAAGTGTTTTTTATGTGTATATTAAAATATTAAAAGTATAAATATATGTATGCATGTCTGATAGCTCAGATTAGTGTAAATAGGCTTAAGAGTGAATTTGAAGCGGAGCTTCACTTCTGAGATTTCAGCAGAGGCAGGACATTGTTTTTGGAAGTTCTTGCCTTTGGAATTTGCTCCTTCTGACAACTCTGACCAGGAGACCTTCGTTAGGCTTCAGAACATATCACAAGGCCAATCATTACCATCAAGATTTGGCAGCATGGCTCTAAACAAAGGCTTATTTTCCTAATCTTTGATTTGTTTTTTGATGGATGACCAGTTAATTGCAAGAGGGTTAGCACTGAAGGCATTTTATAAACTGAAGTTTTCTTTTACGTACAAGGTTCCCAATGTCACAGTAGTGGGTATACTATAAAGAATTAAAACAAACATGCAGATAATAAGAGAATTCAAAACTCGGCACAAGCATAGCTGTACTGTTGTCTGTAAATTGTCCACTTAAAAGCTGAAATAGCAAAATGCACAAATTACTCTTTGATGCTGACAATACTTTGCTTCAAAGAATGCACATACACATACGCTTTATTCTATATACATTACTGCAGTATCTGTCCAGCTCCTGCTCCACAAATGACTGGGCTGTATTTTTCAAGATTAGAATATAACTTCTCAGATTAAAGAAGAAAACTGTTTGAACATGTTAGATTCATTGATTCATTTTTATTCCTAGAAAAGCAAAAATAAGCTGCACAAGGGGAGGTATGTTTTTTAAAATACTTTATATCTTCCCTTAGGTTTGACTAGACTAATGGGTATTTACAAACGGTATGAAAAACTTCTGATCCTCTTTGTCTTCCTAAACTAATGGAAAATACGACAAATTTTAAGGAAGCAGAATCTAATTAACCGAAAGGAAAACCTCCTAACAAATATTGCAAATATTCTGAAAGTATCCTCTGATTGACTGCAGTCGTAGTAAGCAGCAAACAGGATAAGAAAAAAGAAAAGGCAATATACTGTTGCGGATAGCAAAGGCTGAATTCCTCAGTAACATAAACTAGGCTAGAAGAAAACTAATGGAAGTTCTGCAGCTAGACAGCGAACATTATCTCTCGGTTCACCCAGAGCTTTTTTTTCTTAACTGGATGATGGCAGTTATTAGAAATGTTCCTCCTCTTTTGTCTTCTTCGAAATCCAGGAAAGCATGCCTACTTGGAACTTTGTGTTATTTTTTGCCCACAGACTGTGAAATACTAAAGGCTCTATGACTCAGAATGCGTCCATTCTTTTCACAAATTTTGATTTAGGTTGATTCGTATGTTCTGAGCAACTCTATAATTGGCTCTTTTCTTCATTTTAAGATATGGTTAATTTGCTAGACCCAAAAGAAAATATATTTTGGCATAAAGTGATTTATTTTTCCCCCTCATTATCCTCTTTTTAGGTGCCCTTTACAATGGACTTGAGTCATATCAGATGGAAACTTCTCCATTGTATGCGGTTACGTGGCTGCAACAATTTTGTGCTTAGTTTCAAGTGGCTGTAATATAAATAGAAGCCACAGCACTTCTTTATGTGGGACAGCGTATTTTTATAACTTAAAGCATGATGATATATTTGAAGAACAAATTAGTCATTCTTCCTCAAGAACTAGTCTGCCTGAGGTATGCCACAGAGCTGTTTTCAAATTGTTTACCTGGTGTGAAGCCTACTCACGGTAAAAATAGTTTCTTGATTTACACTTGGTAATTCCTGTCCTAGAGTTTGGCTTATTCTGTGGCTTAACTAATTGCCATGGAGCTGGGCTGGTAGAGATCAACAATACAGTGCTTAATGGTTTATTCTCAGAATGTATTGTTATGGTTTATTCCTTCCATGTATTAAAAGAAGAATGGGGAAGTTGTGGCTGATTATGCTGCTGTGATCAGACCTGTTGCCTACTCTATAAACACATAAGAGATGCTGTTTAAGCATTTATTTATATAGCACTTTTATGTTCTTAGAAGCTTGTACAAATGTGCCACTTTGTCAGAAGTTGCTTAAAGGGTCAATAAGCATGTTATAAACATGTTAGAAGCACAGAAATGAAAAAACAACATAATTTCCAAAGCTGGAAAGCAAGCTGGTAATAAGGACAGAGACAGGATTCTGTGGACCCCATACTTAAACCTTCAAACCACCTCCTATAAAAATAAGTATAAATTCATCTATTTGCAACCTTTGACATAAGTTTTCTAGCATGCTGAACATATCTTAGGTGTTTCCTAGGTTTGAAAGGCATTTTCCTGAATTGCATCACATGAAAAAGATTATCAGGTAATTCTCACAACAGCAGCTACTGTCTTAGCATTTTTACTGACATCGTCAGGGCAAAGGATGTCCACAAGAGCACTTCTTACTATTCCCATGCTATTTAAACTTCCATGATATTTTAGGTACATATGACTGGCAGGAGACATTGCAAAGCCTGGTAATTCACTGACTCTGGTTATTAATTTGTATGTAGAACCACATTAACAAAAATATATTACTTACATTGGAGATAATCCCACTTAAACATGACAAATCTCTATAACATGCTATAGATTCTTGCAACCTGGTATGTGCATGCGTACTTCTCCAGCTGAATTTTGTGATGGAAAATTTGAGCTTAAAAAGGATGCTCTATTTTAAAAAATAAAGGCTTCCTACCTGAGGCTGCTGAGTGGCAGTGGGTCTCTGAGGAGATGGTATAGGAGTTTTGGACAACATTTGGTTCATTTTGCTTATGACTAGTTCGGTTATATGTTGTCTGTCTTCAGTCTGATGCTCACCAATGAGAGGCATTGCACAGTCCATGACCTGTGAAAATAAAACAATACATGAGCTGTTGATATGGCACCAAAGTAAACTAATTTCATATATCAGTAGAATATCAGGCCATCTCTTTTATTTTTTTTTTTCAATAGACAAGTAATATCTAAGAAATGATAAATATTGTATCAGAGAAAAAGCCGAGTGTAGGGTATCAGTCAGAGGAGCAAGAGTAGTAGTTTTACAATATCCCCCCTTTACAATCTTAAAGCGTTACACAGGTTCTGGGTATACACTCTGTGGAGAACATGATTCATGTGGGAAATACGCATCACACACAGCGGATAGGCAATATGAAGGTTTCTTAGGCTACTCTGTGGACTGCCAAAAATCTGAAGCAATTGCTTGCACTATGGTCCAAACTACATTTTGGAAGACCTGTTCTCTTATGTGATTTCTTGTTCATACCATGTTCCTTAGGCTGAATTGAGCCATAGAAATGCCAATTAAAACTTTAGCTGGCAGCTGTTTGTTGGATTTCTGCTAAGAAAACAACAGATCCTTAAGGATTAATGAAAGAGTTGAAATAAGAACATACATGCTTGTTGTTATTGACAGGCTTTTATAAAAAAATATGAGGCTGCAGTTCAGTTGGAAAAAAGACTAAGAAAGAAAGCTACAAAAAGAAATACAAAAGAAAACAGAATGTCACAGGCAAAAAACCCCCCAGTATTTATTTCGATTTTAAATGTGATAGGTTAATATTGTCTAGCAATTATTTCACTCAACTTTTCTGATGGATAAAAAGAATACTGAATTCATTTCACTTTGGTTTGGTATATTTTAAGTATTTGTTATTTCTATTTGTATTCCCATTTTTGGCACATGTGTGTGATTCAGAGAGAGATTTAAAAAAGTAGCAAGGAAACAAATCCAACTTAGGCAATAGCACTGGACATCTTATTTCAACAATATGAAAATGGTTTATTTCTCTTCTGAGAAACTGCCATCCTTTTACAATTTGTTTAAGTGCTGTACAGAAGGAGGTGTAGACATGTCACCTGCTGCCATGCACTCTGGTGTTTCTCATAGGTACGAGTAAGAAATGACTAACAATACTATTAATAGGAAGCAGTCTGGGATAAAGCAATTACTATTGCTGCATTAGCAGCAATATAAGGTATGGATTTCATTACATCTGATCCAGTTCTATCCTCCATACATCTCATTTTCAGCCTGTGAAAAGCTGCCAAGCTGCCAAATCTCATGCAAGAGGTCCCACTAACGTTGACAAACCATTCCGAAGAGACCATAATAAACTCTGCTGGTAACATAACGTGTGGTTTTGGACAAAGGCCAAAAGAATCCTTAAGTAAGGGATCAGTGGGGTCCTCATAGCTTTTGTAAGACCAGAGGATCAGTGAGTTTTCACAACTAACATGTCAGTGTTTCAGATGGAAAAGATTCTAGCTTAGAAGAATCATTTATATTTCAGGAATTTGTCCTCTAACCCTCAGCTCCTCCTTCTCTTAAAACTACCCTCTTCCTCACAATGATGAGCTCCTCACCCATTCCACTTCCCGCAGCTCACGTCATGCACCCCCCCAAGATTCTCTTCTTTTTATTATGAATTTCCTAGGAAGAGACAACCTCATATGTCAAATACTTTGCCTAAAATTTTAAAGCATTAAAAATGGCTGGATGTCAGAATGCTTTGCTGTCCACACAATGGTTGCTGAATGTTTGGCTGCCTACTGCTAAGCACCTGACTTGCAGAGGAGTGATCTCTGTTGTCTAAAAATTGGACTACCTGAAGGCATTAGTGACAGTTATTTTTAAAAATACTGCTCCTCTCAATATCAAATATATAGTAAATTCTGCCTTACTTCAACTACAGGAGCAAGCATTATCCCTCTTTCACAAGTGTGCAAAGAAAACCTTACATTGTGTAAAATCTACTGACATGAAAAACTATCTGGAATAATTGTGAAACAGAAGATGTAAAATGTAAGACCCTGCCAAAGGACTGAATTGTTGTTTTTAAGTACTTCTATAAATGCAACTTTACATACAAACTCTTTCTTTAGGAGATGTTGCCATTTGATTTATCAGAATTCAAGGGAAAAATATAGTTCTGTCATTAAAGGACAAAAAGAAAAAAAAAAAGCTTTCAGGCCTTGCTCAAAACTTCACAGCAAATTTAGTAAATCAGCTGAGCTATCTGCGCAGTTTGGATGCTTGTATGCTCATAAGAGAAAATAATGCCTGTTCTGAGATATTAGAGAGCTTAATACCAGTTTTAAGATTACTTTTGACTGCTCAGATTGAACATAAAAGTTTCATACAAAGAGTCAGTTATTAGTAACATTGTTTTAAGCTTCTGTTAATGTAGCAGAGGGGAAAATACCTTGAGTGGAAAGTGATTAAATAGCAGGGATGGAAAATTACACATTCTAAATTAAAAAGGAATAAAGGACAGGTTATTGCTGAACTTTTATCTATGATAGATATCTGATTTGCTAGTTTAGAAATGTGAAAGTTAGATTTTTGATACTATTACACCGACATCGCAGCAGTTGAAATCCCAAGGCCTCATCAAGCTTAAATTAAGTTGAGGAGATTTTTGAGTAGGTCTTGGATAAAATTTCTCATTCTTGCCCTTTTAAAGATTGACAGTTTTAACACAAAATAAAGTGATTTTTCTCACCTAGTTGAAAGTTATTAGGGATATTCAGTTAAGCAAAACAATTTATAGGAATTTGAGAAATACCAGGTGGAGTGTTAGGAATGCACTTGTGAAATGCCTGCAGCAACAAAAAGCAAAGTCTATAGATATACTTCACATACAGCTTAAGAGGTATCATTAAGTGACACAATACTGCCGTCTTAGTTTTTGAGCATAAATAGTTAATGGTTATCTTAGAGTGCATCTTTTTTTTTTTTCAATTTTAGATTTAGTTTTGTTGGTAGAAAATCAAAGCAGCTGTTCTCATCAACACATTATCTTCAAGAATTGGGGGTTTTGACACTGAAAGCAGGTTGCCTTTACTAACCCAAAACCAAACATTTGAACTGATCTGCAGCCATCTAACTGCAGATTTAAGATAAGGATTGCCATAAAGCCTAGGCTTGTAATTTGTGGTGGAGATGCTAGACTCAGGCAAACAGTAAATCCATGCAGTTTGTAAGGTTTGTCAAATTGTCACCCCACGGGTAGTAAAAATGTGAGTGCAAATTAGGATACCTCTAAAAAGAGTCAACTTTTGTCAAGGTTGTGACAAAGGCATTTTTATGGAGTTTTACCACCCTTTTGTAGTGCCTTTGTATCCTAGGCAGAAGTGTGCTAGTTTCAGTAAACGACCTGGAGCTCACTACAACTTAAACTGCTGAAGGACTGACAATCTGTGAAGCTTTCAGACTCACTGGCAAAGGCCCAGGGTGCTTAATTAGAGACTATGCCCTGCTGAGCCTGACAGAGCTCTCAGGAGATATGCAGCCAGTTGGCCAGCGCTGCCTTTAGTCCTGGCATTCAGTAAGGCTTAGCTGACTTGGATTTTAAATTGAAGGTTTACTCTTTGAAAATCTTCTGGCAGATTTTTCTTCGTACTCAGAGGTGCCTCTGTCAAGTACCCTCAGGTATATTTTGAAGAAAATCTTACATTCCTTTAAAGCCTAAGGTAATATTTTCAAGCATAACTGCCATATTCACATATTGAGGCAGACTGGAACACATACAACATCAGAAAACAGAGCCATTTGCCCTGGACAACCTTTTGTTACTTTGATGTTGTTAAAAAGCCTTTTGATGGCTCCCATACTTGAACAAATATTGTTGGTCAAAGGTGTGCTGAACCTTAAACTGAACGAGTACCTAGTCAGATGCCAAGTTGGAAAAGTTGATGAGCTATAATCTGTTCTGCTGCTTTACTGAAGTTTACCAAATCTGTAAAAAGAGAAAGCAAGAAACTACTGATTCCAAGATGAAATATTGCTGAATACCAGAGTGAGTGAAAAAAAAAAAAAACTTGAAAATGGTTCAGTTGCAAGGCACAGTGTTCAGATTAATAATTCATTGGACTAGTGTGGCAAGCTGGGTGGGGAGAAGTCAGAGGTGACAGGAGACTGCAGGGCCTCCCTCACTTGAATTGCTGGGGGGATTGGTCTGAGCATCCAGGAGCAGCATTTACACCCAGCCCAGAATGTGGCTGCTACGAGCAGGCCCGGCTGCTGCTGCTGCCTTCATGGATAGAAGTTGACTTCATTAAGAGAGCAGTTCTGCTATTCTTTGGCTAAGAAGCTCAAGGAGTGAGAATACAGGTTGGGTTTTGTTTCTAGCTTTTTTTTTCTATTTTTTTCTCATTTTCATTCTCATTTTAAGAGAATGAAGTAAATTTTCCTTTTGAGAAAAATATTCAGTGAGACTTATCAGAATTCATTAATGCTTTATATAAATGTATATTAAGGATTAAAAAATATTTTGGGGAATGCTAATAAAATTTTAAAACCTGTGACTATGTAACAGAAATACCATGCTGACAATTTCCCACTTTAGAGAGCTTGGCAAAGCTTAAGCATATCCAAAGCATCCTGTTCATCAGAAGACTATTTGCAGCCTGTATTAGTTAAATATCATTTAAACACTGAGCCAGGTCTTCAGTGCCTTGTTCATTTATTCAAAATAGTGGAGTTTCCCACTAATATTCCATGCACAAAAAAAGACATCTGTAATCTATAAAGCATAATATGTTTTGCTCATGTCAGTAAAAGCATGGGTCACTATAAATGATGGTCACTTAATTTGTATCAGTTTTACCTTTAGTTTCAGTAATTAGTTGTATAATATGAATTTATCTTGTAACATGGAAACTATATATATTCTGAAATGCACTTAGCACATCTCTTTTTTAAACTAGCAGTAGCAGCAGAAACTACAGCAGCATGTTTAAGTCAACACAATACTGTGATTAAAAAAAAAGACTGACCTTTCAGTAATAAGACCTTTCAATGAATTAGTCTGTGCTCTCTGTTGCTAGCGTGGACGAGGCAAGTATTTGAGTTTGGGGCTGCAAGATTGAGACTGCTAACAAAGAAAAGAAAATACTGTTTATTTAACTCTGACAAACATATAGGGAAATGGAACAGGATTAGTACAGGCGCCAGTGCAATTATAAGACATCAGTAATTGCAAAGGGATCATCTGCTGTTTGAAGGAAGAACTACTCTGACTGCCATAATCTGGACACACTTATCTGTTACAGAATATTTTATGAGAGATCCTTTGCCTAGGGCTTTATGAAGACCCAGTCTAAATGGCGCTACGGAAGAAGCAGTAGTAGAGATCAAAGGCAAAGGAAAGAAACGCTGCGTAAGACAGTCGAAGAAAAAAGTGCATGCTAGGGTGGAGTGCTAAGTACAAGGGCAATCAGAAGGAGCAGGGATGGATAGAGAACTTGCACAGGAGAAGTGCCCAGGCAGTCTGAGAGGGCAATTACACATGGGGAAAAAAAATAAAAATAAAAAAAAACCCACAACTGTGAATGGCACAAGAAGGTAAGAAAATTGTTAAGTCCAGATGGAAGAGGTAAGAATTTCACTGAGAACCAGGGGAATTTATTTTGAATTAAGGTCCATACTTGAGAGTCTGAGTACTGACAAAAATAATTTACCTCGATTGGTCTGTGGACCAGGGAAGCTGGATTGTGTTGCTGCTGTTACAAATTTGTTATTTTTCTGCAGTGTCTCTGAGGATCCAAATGTTTGCAATTCTAGGGCAGAACATGACTGCAACAGCAGAGGCTAATACAGATTTTAATATGTCCTTTTAATTATGGGAAAAGTAATTGACTTCAGGAAAAATGAATAGTTTGAGGAGGCCATCTTAGATTCAGTGGGGCTTGAGAGCATATATAGCCACCCCTGAGAAGACGGATGGTGACTAGATATGAAATAAACATGGGGCTTTCCCTAAGGTCCCCACAGGAGATGCAGTAGTTTGTAATTCAAAATGCAACCAGACCTGAGAAGTCATCAGGAACTGGAAATGCAACGAGTCCTGAGAAGTTGGCAGGGGCTAATACTGAAGAAAATGTTAGGATATTTTACAGTCTCTGCTACGGTGTGTGAATAACAACCTTTATTGTAAAGGTAGGTACAAAAGAATTGCTAAGAAAATGAATAAGGTTTCCTTAGATCAAGGTTCCAGTACAGTCAGATGTATATGGTCACATTTCAGTAACTCCTATCACTCACTCCGATCAAATGCTGTTCTCTCAACCTTAACGCAGGAAATTGCACTGAAGTTAGTCTTTGCCTAGAATAGTGAAAGATAATTCAGTAGAATTCTACCCTAATTCAGATTTACTCTTCTAAGCTGGTTGAAATACATGCATGCGTTTGTAGTGGTGGTTACAGTGGTTGAACGTCCCAAGTTAAAAATCAAGGAGATCATACTATATGCATTATTTCATACACTAGGAAGTTCATGTTTATTACCAGGTCATATCTGCAGAAGGAAAGTGACATTAATAACAGCTTTAGTTTCATAATAGGATACAGACAAACTGCTAGAATTATACTGTGATAACTGTTGATTGGAATCTAGCTTTTTAGCATCAACTGGTAGTAAGTTTTACGCACATTCAGGCAGATGTCAATTTTGCAAACAATTCTGCATTTTAATGGGTTATGTAGATTCTAAATATTCTTGCTGATGAGCATTACATCTTCCAAACAATTCAGTCAATTGCTGAACATTCGTGCTGTAGAACATCAAGAACTATCATGCCTCTATCCACTCAGTCTTTTAATTGCAACATCTATTGTGTGCACTACTTAAACTGCTGTATAAAGCCAGTTCCTGATGGTTCCTAATTTTGTTTTTCTAAAAGTATGAATGTATCTGGCATAGAAAATTAGGGCATTTGTTCAGAAACAGGAATTGAGATACTCCCTCTATTATATAATTTCACTAGCAATTTTATTATTGAAAACTGTTCCCCATTTTTCTTCTACCAAATAGACTACCCAGGTCTAATATAAAAAGTTGATGTGTGTACACTGACTTAAATAGAAGTTGATGCTTGCTGGCTTTGCTCACAAATTTGAAAAATTGTCAGTAGGTTCATGGAGAGCACCAGGAAAATATTAAAGCTTGACAATAAGTAGAGAAGAGGCAAGTTGGACAAAACAGTCTACTGCCTAATATGTCACCTACACTTTTAATGTGATATGTGTGGCCTCTTTCAGAAAACAGAAATGTATGCTTGAATATTATTTCTCTGGACACATGATTTTCAGGATACTAGGTCATTCAATATCAAAAATGTTGAAATAATCAAGAAGTTCAGTGAATGAAAGTGAAGTCCATTTAGTCTGACAGGAATTTGTGGGCTGAGGCAACAGAAAAGTCAAATGTTAAAACAGAGGAGGCATTTCCAGTGAGAGCAGGAAAAAAAAAATCAATTACAGCAGCATGAAAGGGGAGTAGAGAATAAAAGAGATCAGCTAGAACAGCTTCGTGGAGCGGGTTGATGCTTGTCACTTCTCAGACTAGTTTTGGCTACAGCCTAGGAGAGATAACATTGATTTATGCCTGGAACCTGCAGTTCCAGGAACACAGTTGTTAAAAGCAATGCTAGTCTAGTTTTATATTTTTGCACACACACCCTTTTGCTTTTTAACTACTAGCATGACCTTACATTTTAAAATAATTTACATTTCTTTAGTTTAGAACTTAAATGCTCAAAATGTATTGGGTTAAAGCCAGCCAAATCAACACGACCTCTCTCAAATGTAATGAATTTAAATAAATCAGTGTGTGAGAGACATTTAGGCGCCGTAGGGTGTGCAGAGTATCCCACAAAGCTTCGAACGATGTGTGTGAGCTGCCAAAGACCAATTGCTACCTTGCAGAGAGGAACTTATCTATAAGCAGACACCAATACCTTCCCAGGAAGGAAGTACTGAGACATACCCATGACTACAGGCAAACAGTGAAGTCACACACATGACAAAAGTTACATTCAGAAATTTCCTCTATACTGCCTCATCCGATGTCAAAGGGGTATGTTTCAGAAAGAGTAAAAGACAGTTTTTCACTCTTTCAGATTTCACCAGGACAAGCATTACAGATTGAATGGGAACTTTGGGGGACACACACCAGAGTATATAAAGGAATAAAAACAGGTGCTTTAGTATGGAACACTTCTTTCATCCTGATAAAATAAGATACAATAAACTCTTGGTATGTCCAGGCAGACAAGAAAACAGGACTTCCTCAAGTTCTCCTCAGTATCTCTGAAGCTAGTGATCAATGCTAATTGTTTTGCGGACAGTTTATTTCTGCAAGTTGCCAAGACTTTTACATTGCTATTGATTGACTTGGGAGATCTCAGCACTTGCAATAGGAATAAACAAATTTGTGCATCTCCTTTGTGAAACAAGAAGAAAATAAGGAGAGCTGTTTAACATCATGACAAAACAAAAATGTACAGCTCAACATTATGAATGGATATATATTTGTATGTATAAGTATTATAAACAGATACACATAATTACAGAGGGTCCAGCCAAAATCTCCTTCTGGACCCCTGATTACTCCCATAGTTTGGAAAAAAATATTCATGCTTTTGCTTTAGCAAATATGAATCTGTTTTGGAATGGGAGTGATTCCGGGAATTTTTACAATCCAAATAAATTCTATGAATATGGACTACGCTGAACAAATCGTGAATTGTGTGACATGCAAGTTATGATTTTATGGCCAGATGAAGTTATATTTATTCATAGTAAACTTAAGATAAACAAGAAATTTAAACTTTTCTAAAAGATCTACAGCACCATCTTCTAGATCTACGGTTCATAAAAAAACAGATCTGAAAGGTCACATTTAGGCTGGAAAAAAAGTACAGTTGTTTCCTCTTCATTTGTAATTTCCCTTCCCATGTAAAGGTATAATTTTGCTGGGGTTCCCTTGAGATAGTGTTGTCAATAAGTCTTCCAGAAAAGACTAGTAAGCCTGCTCAGGAAAGAAATTACAAGGGTTGGGCAAATATGACATCTACATTTGGTTTTGTTTTGTAGTCTATGAACATTTCCTCAGACTCTAAAAACATTACCATATGATATGGTTACATTTTCCAGCAAATGTTGCCACTAACTTAGACATGTGGCTGTGGTATTATGATTTAAACATTGCTTAAAAATACATCACCTTTCCTGAAACACAAATGAGCCAATGCCTAACCATTACAAGAGTTTTGTATTTGCAAAGACTGAAAAGGGTTGGATTGCTTACCTCAAAAATATAATCTTTTCCATCCTTTCCATGTACAGCTTTAACAGCACAGATGTCCAAACCACCAAATATTTCAGAACAGGTGTCAACCCAGAGCTTGTACCTGTTATATAAAAATATTTTTTCCATGAGTATCGTATCAGTCTTGTTTTTATAGAGGCTTAGCTTAATAATGTATTTTATAAAATGCTTGCTTCAAATTTAGAATTTTCACAGTATCACTTTCACCGTATCTGCATTTCTCAGAACAGCAGCTTAGAGATACTGGCCCAGTTAACTCTGCTTTTCCCAGTAGAACCCATAAAAGCTGTAGCTCCATATCCTAACACAGTGTTATGCTGGCTCCAGTCCCAGCTTATTTTGCTCCAAACATGTGTCTGCTCTAAACTGTGAGTAACCTGAAGATCATTACACTGGAACATAAATAGCGTATAGCTATATCCCATGCTGTGTTTCCATTGCCTTTATGCTTGTACAGCTTGACAGTTGAGGCTAAAGACTATTTGAGAACTCCACAGAAGGAGCATTTATCATGTGACCAATTTTTATGATTTGAGTAATGCTAAGAGTTTTAGAAGGAGTTTTAAATTTCTCAGGGCTTCTGTGAAATTCAAACTGGTGTATTTGTGCACAAATCCAAGCATGCCTTACCTACAGTGCTTGGTAGAGTACTTAAACATGGCTGTTTATCAGGGACACTAGAATGAGAGTCTCTGTCTTAAATGAAGCAGCACTGATTGCTTTATAAATACATCACTGAACAAGTCGAAAGAGATAAAACAACCATCACGATGGTACAAGAGAAATGGCTGCATGACACTTATGCAAAAGTTGGGCAAGTTTTTCATGTCGGGCTATAGACGATTACACTAAAATTCAACAGAAGCTGTAAAGAATGATGAAGAATGCTTACAAATCTTACAAAAAGGACAGTCCTTCATACAGTATTGAGCATATTAGCCCTTGCATGTCATTTCTACAAGCAGTACTGTGATTTACTTTCATTGCAAGGAAAGAGCTTTATTCATCATATGAACAGATTGTCTGACCTACATGGGAATAAAGCCGGATTTATTAGAAAAAGAGTGAGGCACTTCCTGTGATCAAGTTCAGACATAAAGTGACATAAAAAGGGAGCCATGATACTTCACTGAGAGCTCACGGAGGTGATGCAAGCTGTACGTGTTTGTTCAGTGACGACATTGGCTCTTAGACACAAAATAGCATTGAGAACTTTCAGTGACTAACAGCATAACTGTGCCTAGGCAGCAGTAAGTTATGATAGAATCTTGTAAGAAGTTATATAGCCAGATACAACAGTTTAACCAATTGAAGGTCATTTTCCTAAAACAACAACAAACAGTTTAAACCAGTTACCTATCATGTTTTTTTTCATTGACTACTTTAGTGAGAGTTATTTCCTTTTAAAGACCTGGTCTGGCTCTTGCTTGGTCCAGTTTTTGAGCCATGATGATAAATTTGCCACATGATAGTATTTTCCATTGAAAAAAAAAATGGTAATAAACATAGCATTTGACCTCACAGTAGGATCAAAGGAAACTGCTGGCTGGTCTGTGAGGAATAAAGCACTTATTCATATATACCTATCTTCAGGAATAGCATCCTTTCCAAGTAAACTTATAAGAAAAAATACAAAATGTGAACTAATATCAAATGTGTTCCAGTGCAGTAGGAAAAAAAAGAAAAAAACAGAGAGTATGGAAATTGATAAAACTGTTTGAAAAAAAAAAATCCTGATGGCAACATTTTAGCAAAGAAAATATATATTTTTTTTTCCTATGAGAAAAATTCTTTTTGTCTAAAAACAGAGGTTTCTTTGGATGCCTGACAATTTCAACATCTGTAGATGGATCAACTCTTTGGACTGCTTGCATGCTCTGCTTGCTTACAAATGACTTTTTTTGGCACAAAATACCAAAGTGCATCTTATGTTGATGCACAGAGCTGAAAATGACAGTTACATTTGGAAAGAAAGGTCTTGGCTGGACTAGCCTGTTGTGTTTGAAACCCAAGGCTTGCATAGTAGGTTTGGCCTGAGGTCACAGTTCTCCCAGAGCCAATATAATGCTCAGCACCTTCCAGAATTGACTGAGCGCTCAGTGTGGCACCCTGGGTGGCTGGCACTGAGCACCTGGGGTGCCAGGTAAGGTCTGTACAACTAGAATAGGTCTGTACCCTTCTGATCCTACCACTCAAGGCCTGTCTGAAATGGAGTGGTCAGTAAGAAAATGTAATACTGAAATGTGCTTGTTGTGTGTTTAGCCATCATCTCTTACTGCTGCAGATTCTTCTTCTTTTCCACATTTCTAGACTAAGCTCTCTATTCAGTCAACTCCAACAGTACTAAGCTTGCAAAGCACTTTTTCTTAAATCATGAAATGCATTATAAATGTGCTTAAATGCACACACACTGGATTTGATTGCTTTTGCCTTTAAACTTAACTTTCATCAGAAAAGCTCACTTTTTCTTGCTTTGCTGTTCACATTTTGGAGTATAATCAAACGAACATGGGCATATAATGTATACCCCTTTCTGCTATGAGGAGACATCCATCTTTTCCCTAATTTTGTCTTCATCAGCATAAAAGATTTGTTTTGTTGGTTAGCATATTTTTATGGGAATATATCGATTATGCTTTAATTGTCTTGCTTGCAAAAATGGAAACAAACAAAGCATTTACAGTGAGGTAGCTAGGCAAGGCTAGCATTTTACATTCATTGCCCATACTTGATTTTGTTTAGTTTACCTTATAGCAAAACTAAAGGGCCTGTGTTTTTACAGAGGAATATTTCACAGACCATAATTATACACACTAAAAAAAATGTTTTTTCTTTTTCCCCTCGCAGTGAAGGCACAACCTCACTTTCTCAAGGAAGGTGGGAGGGGAATGAGAAAATAATGTGGCTCCACTCTGTCCACACAGGGGAGATCCATGAGGACACAGTCTAGACAGAAGGGGTCGGGGCTGGGCAGCAGGGAGTTCTAATTCCCTTACTTGTTTTCACCTTTCAGAGCATGCACTGGTTCAGGTCCTGCATCTCTCCTAAGATGGAACAAATTGTTGTGGGTTTCAGACTTAAAAGAACAGAAAAAAAAAAAAACCCTACTACCAAACATTAAACATTTATTTGAACTTAAAATTCTTTTGATTTACATTTTTATGATACAGAGGATTTTCAGTTTCCACAGGGAAAAACCCTTGCAGAAGCTGAACAACAGAAAATTCATAGCCATCGAAGAGTGTCAAACCTTTCTTTTGCAGGAGAGGTTTAGGTACTGTAGAGGAACTTGGGGCAAATGAGCAATACTGAGAGGCCAGTTGTTGTAGTTTCAAGCTTCAACATGGTACTGCAAGGAGAATACAACTGACCAGATTTCAAAAAAGTATCCAGTGTAAGGAAAGAAAATAAAGAAAAGCAGAATAAGCCAAAGCACAGAGCTGAAACGATGACGTGAGGGAAATAAGCCTCAGTATATCCCAGCATTTGGAGTAAAAATCTCAGTTAAGTGAAGTTTCAAAAATGAAAAGGCAGCGGTTCAATTGGGCTGTAAGCAGAAAAGAGAAATAGGATATAAACGGGCAAAGTTGAGCCCAGATTGCTTGTTTTCAAGATAGAAGAGGAATAGTTAGAAACAGCATGACATGGGTGGGGAAGGGAATAGCTCTACATGTAAGGCAGCGAATGAAACAGTGAAAATGACTGGAAGGTTGAAGCTGAAAAATGGGATTATCTGGAGGAAATGCCAGTAGTCTTCTAGGTGCACAGTGGATTTAGGAACCCAAATGTGTACTTAAGCACCTAAGCCTATTACTTAATTTAGGTACTTAACCCTGGGGCAACTTCACTTGGAAACTCTGGGCTCATTTCTTTCATCCAATTCAAAGGTGTTTTTTTTTTTTTTTTTTTTTAAACCAAAATGAACTAGAGGCATTCATTTACCATGAGTTACAAATCAGCAGTGTGAGGCATGAGCTGTGACTTACTTATCTGACATAGCAATTTGTTCCAACATTGCCGAGCCCGTGTTTGTCTTCCAGTTGCCGGATATGGAAGTCCTCCTGAAAGGGGGGAAAATTACAAAGACAGAAAATGATTTTATATTTTCACTTTTTCTTAAATTTTCCTGGTTTTCGCATGAACGATTCAGCAGCATTTACATCTTTTTCATATCTGGCAGCTTAGTACTAAAAGTTATCTTAAAAGGGAAGAATTCTAATCAAGCACAACTGCCAGTAACACTCACTGCACTGTAGGAATGGTAAGATGTATGACAATGCTGTGAAAGTTGTGCTCATTTAAGATTTTTTTTAATTGCAAAAGTGCTAGAAATAAGAAGTTATCAGTTTAAAACAAATTAAATAATTTATAGTCCTACTTCATATACTATAGGTTATCCTTTTAGATCCATAGTACTGGAAAGTTAGGCCCAGCACTTAAATCAAGATATCTTTTAAATTCTCCGAAGTTTAAGTGTGATCCTAGAACCTGTTTTAGAGTTGCATTTTGGATTCTCATCCAATTTTCTTTCTTTGCTAGTTTATTCATAAAATCTAAACAGCTTTATTTCCATGCTCAAATTTTTCTTCCCTCCACCAACACTTCAGGATTGTTACTAGGGCTGAGAAGATAGCTGTTTTCTTAAATGGAAATACTACCCTGGGAACAAGCTAAGGACACAAATTATAAACTGCTTCCAGTTAGTAAAATAAAGCAACACCTGTAATTTAATAAAAGTATATATAAAAGGCAGCTGTAGGGGTATTCTCCCCATCTTTCTATTAATCCAGTTATAAGGGTCAATAGTAATTATGGGTGAATGTTGACCTTTCTATGGGAGTTTTTTAAAATTAGTTGAATATGAAGCATAAAGTCCTTCTGAGGTAGCATATTCTTTGAGGATGTGGGAGAAACTAGTGAAAAAGGAAAGTGCATACTGAGTTGTGTGTGTAAGGCAACACTTTTCAGTAATAAGGCTATTTTGTGATTTCCGTTTCACATTTTCAGGCAGTATTTATTTCCATGCGTGCCCTTTCAGAGCAACTCATTATTAAGCCCTGTTCCCTGCAGAATCCGAAGCACTGCCAAGACCCCCTGCGTGGCTGTAGGGACCCCATGGGGCCTGGCTGGGGGATCATGGCAAGCTCCTCACATCCTCCCTCTTGTTTCACTCTCTCTTAAATGCAAAGATGGAGTTTGTGGGATGGAGCCACCAGTGCTAAGTCTGTGACGAGGAAAGACTCCAGAACAGAAGAGCTGTTTGGTTAGACTGTGTAGAAGTACCAAACCAGACCATCCGGTCTTTCAAACTTAGATACAATTCCGGTTATTCATATACGACTTCCTCTATGGCAACATTTAGGTTCCCCACCCTCTTCTGTGCTTCTCTTTTCTTAATTGCTAAATACGTTTTTCCACCATTGTTTTATCTTCTTCTACTAAATATTAGTTGAATACTACAAAAAACATCTCCTAGCATGTCTGAGTACATCACACTTACGCTTTACATGTTTTCACTTCAGTTGGTCTTTGTAATATATGAAGAAATCCTTTGAAACTGGAAGATGGGGAAATAATTGTATTCAGCATGAACAATTCTAAATAACTTAGGCTTGTCCCTTTCCAACACCTTCTGCTTTGCTACACGTGATTTTAAAAAATGATGCAAATTCTGTGGACAGTGACTTCTCATCAGAAAAAAAAAAATGTAGAAATGATTACCTACACTTCTTGCATAGATAGTCCATCCATGTGCAAGGTAGATGTGGTTAATGTGGTGCTGTGCTTGTGTTTCTTGAACACCGGTGTACAGTTATGGATTCAATGTATTGATTTTGGAAATAGAAAGGAATTTCTGTCTTTTTATGTTTTAAAAATTTTATTAGGCCCTTTTTATTTCCTTGAAGTCATCTGAATTCTGTAATGATACTAGTATAGTTAAGCATTTCTGAGCATTTAAGTGTTGCCTTTTGGCTATAATCTCTACTGACAGATGACAAGCACCAGTGTTTGATGAGTCATGGATCCACTCATACCACAATTTCCCACAGAACTATAAAACTGAAGCTGCTAACTCTCTTTAAACTACAGAAATAAATGTTCAGCTAGTATTTTTTTGTGGTAACCCTCTAAGTACTCTGTTCCTGTCTTGCAGAAGAAAATGAGAACCAGCTGTAAAACAATATACTACTGACATAATGTATATGTACACACATGAAAAATTTTAAAGACATTTGGTAAATATTCTCTTTTCAACATACTTTGTTGCAGTGAACAACTGTTTCACTTTTTGTGATTTAACTGTATGAAAGAATCTGGAGAAAAAAAAAATGATTGGTAGGCTTTCAGTACTTGGATGAATCCATAGGTTTTAGGGAGCACAACCTCAAAAAGCAATAGAAGTTAGGAAGAATGTTCCGACATTTTAACTTACTTTTGCTGTCTCTTAGGCTAACTGCTTCTTTTAGGAAGAAGAAACATTTATGTTTAAAAAATGATAAATATACCATATGTCTGAATCTTCCAAATGTTGTTTTAAAGATTGAACAGAATTTTAAAATTAAGTCAAGGGCAAAATATAGGGACCTTCCCTACGAAATGCAATACTCTGGACAAGCAAGCTACTGGACAAATATAGCATCTGACTCTGCTGGTATCTTGAAGTCTATCATAACCTTTAACAGTTGGGCAGCTCTAAGACAGAAACAAAGCAATTATATGTTCTAAGTAGGGGAAGGGAGAGATACATCGTACAAGAAATCTGCCTTATCAAAATACTGACAAGACAGAAAAGCACTGTATTAGACGTGAAGAGACATGAACAGTTGTATCGAAGGGTTGGAGGTAGAGAAAGAAAGATGTAGTAACTGCAAGTGCAAGGAGAACAAGGCCTTCAAATGGGACAGTGCAGAGTAAGAGGGAAAGGGAACAACCTGGGTGGGACTGGGACCAAGATATGGTTTGGACTGACAGGAGAGATGGGACTTCAGGGAGTAAGAGTATGGGAATTTGTGAAAAAAGTAGGATAGGTTCTGCAGGTAAGGGGAAAAGCTAGGAATTTTCAGAGATATTGGGTCTACGCCTCCAGGCAAAGGACTGCACATACCTTATAGATCTTGCTGGCTGTTTCTAAATTACTTGAGACCTACTGCTTATTCTATGCTTGATATTTAGAAACATTTTATGCATTTTAATCCAGTTGGCACTTCCGTTTTTTAATATTTATGGGTTGATTGGAGATCAGTAATTTTTCCTGATAAAGAATCTGACTATATTTTACTGTTTTCTATTCAAGTGTCAACATACAAGAAACATCTTGTGTCTCCAGTGTTTCAGGAGTCCTTAGTAGGACTTTGCCTTAGTAGTGCTTAGTCGTGATTTGGCATATTTTTCTTGCACGAAACTACAAGCATGAAGGAAAAAATATATGAGCTGCTCTGACTTGTGTTAAACATAAATGAAGTGAGTGTATATTGAGTTATACTGTTTGATCTTTTAAACAGAGTAAAAGTATGCAGAAAGACAGTTACCACAGCTCAACTGATACACAGTAATCTGTCTTGCCGCTCTAGTTAAAGTTGTTTCTGAAATACCCATTAGGTTTCTGGTACAGTAATGATCTTTTAACAAGAATCTGCAACCTCCAATAGCTCTTCTGAAATTAGAACAGATTTTCATCCAAATATATGAAGGGCATTGTAAGATTAGATTTTTTCTTACACCTGTTACAGTAAAAGTACTTTCTTCCATTTGTATAAGGTTATCATTCAGGTTTGTGTGAATGAATGCCATCTAAATAGCTTAAGAGCTAAAAGAAAATTTGAACAAAGTGGCTGAAAAAAGAAAAATACATTTAATATGCTCCTCTATTAGAAAGAAAATTCCAACTGCTCATGTCTTTATATGAATATATAAACAAATATTAGCAGGAAAACCCTTGTGGCAGGCTTACCTGTTGTTTTATTCTCCCAATGGCAATCAACTTTTTTTAAAAAAAAGCACCCCAGTAAACCTGGAAAGTCTGAAATACCTTATTTCCAAAGAGCATGACAATGGAGACATGGAGTCAGCACATTTCAATTCAGAGACTCATCTAACAGTCTTAATCTTGTTGATGCTTATCAATTTTGAAATAAAAGGGAGAAAGAAGGTAAGTTTTTAGCTCACATGTACGCTTTGTAGTTACTGCCTATCTTTTGGATCCTGATGTCGTATTTGGAGTCTATGAAGGGTTCAGTAGTGGCGTAGGTCTGAGTAAGTGCAACCACGCTGGCTATGTCCTGAAAGTCGTAGTGGTTGTCTACCTTGATCTGTAGTCACCACGCCACAAGTAAACAGCATATACAAGAGAAAAAAACAGCAGTTAGGAATAAAAGGAAGAATTCAGTTGCAAATGGCATTAATGAGAAATATGGGCTTTGATAGCATTCATTTATATAAAAGAACGGGATATTTTATCTAATTTCTAGATTCTATCTAAAAAATGACCAAGAAATCCTGTACTAAAATACCTATTTTTAAGGAAAAAAGAATTCTTATTCTGCTGTAGAAAGCAATTTGAAGACAGTGGTATTTCATTCTGCTTTAATCTGTATAGAATTCTTGCTGATTTACTAGACTGGACACATAAATGAAACTGTGCATGGGCCAACCATATACTATCCAGTGTCATGGATCTCCCAGGAGGGAGAATCGTGATGTCATGCTGACTGCCTGTTCGCATGGAGCACAGAGCTGGCTCAAGACCAGGACGACCCGTTTTTCCCGGTGTTGTCAAGCTCTCTGTGAGGAGTCAGGTTTTCTAGGATTAGAATTTCCTAGATACAAAAAAATAGAGTTAAGAGATTGTTAATAGGGACTAAGGCCACCAATCTTTAACGTCTTAAGGTAAGATGGTGGTGGAAAGGTGAAAAATACTGATTTGGCAGGGAAAAAAATACTGATTTGGCACAGAGAGAGGAAAGGAGGGAGAGAGGGAGGGAGGGAGAGACAGAAAGAGAGAAAAAGAGAGAGAAAGAGAGAGTGTGAGTGTTTGCTCTCAACTCTCAGACAAGTATAGCATAATTTGCCTTTTGAGACCACAAAACCAGAGCCAAATGCTGGTCTCAATTTGCTTTCTGAAAGCCTAATAGCACGCACTGCTCTAATTATGGCAAATGCAAACCCTCGTGCCAGTAATGTCTTTAGGCAGGACAGGTGTAGGAGAAAACCTGTGTTTAGACTCTGACATTCACGGTGTTTCACAAATGGCTGGCATTTAATTTTTAGGGATTGGAAGTATTTTATATTAGGAATATCTAGAATTTTTATTTTTAGACATTTGATATACCAAACACTTATGTATATTATCTCCCATTATTATGAGATATTACTATTCAGAGTACAGAAAACAATTTCTAATTCTTTACACTATGCAGTCCACAAAAAATATAGTTTAAGTGATTACTGATTAATTCTCAAGTTGGCTGCCAAATTCCTACTGACTTGCTCAGGACTAATTAAAACAATCACAGGCAAAAGAGCATAACATACAATGCAATTTTTGAATAAAATGCAATTAAATCAGTTTTCCACTGCCCAGTGGCAAGTCTTTAAGGAACTTTTCAAGATTCAAGATGATCAATATTATCATATGATTGCTTTTAGTGTTTTGGATTAGTAAATGTCATCTGAAGTGTTTTCAAAGAGAGAAAATGCTTAATTCGTAATAGCTTAAAAAATTGCTATTGGTGAAAGTGAGGTTTAAATCCTGTCCCTTCAACCAACATTGTGAGATAAGTAACTATCAAAAAAACTGTACTCACCACACTCATTACTTTGGAGAAAGAAAGCGGCAGTTAGGCAGTGATATGAAATGGCCACAGAGAATACATTGTGACAAGAAATGAATATAAATCCTTTTCAAGCTGAAACTAGGAGGCAACAACAGCAAAACTTTCCTAAACTCCCAGGCCCACAAAGCTGGACACCTCGATGCTTAATTAGTTTCACTGCAGTCAGTTAAATTAACGAGTAAGGTTCTGCTTTCGGAAAGCATCTCCACATATCCTTAAAGCTACCCCTATATAAGACAACACATAAACCTGAATATATGTTTGAACATATACACAGGTGTTTTAAGTATTTTCTTAAATAGGGCTGTTTTCTTGAATAAAAATAAGGAGAGAGTTGGCAAGGGCAGGGATCACACAGAATTCAGATGAGTGAAAAGTTAAAATAACCAGTAAGCGTCTTATTTTAGAAAAACAACCAAGCTCCTAACATGCAACAAGTAGTGTCTGCACCTTTCCCATGCCTGAATGAGCATGCCCAATCTTCACAACAACAGGAAACGTTGGCATTGTCAGCTAAGAAGGAAAAAGAAAAGAAATATTAGGGATGATAATCATGGGATAGATAATTAATACAGGTCACTTCAGCAAAATATTTATACAACCATACAAAATTCAAAGGCTATTTTTCCAGTCTGTTAAATCAGACCTGCACTGTATCACATTGATGTGCAAAAAAGAACATAGTTCTTGCACTGCTACATTCCTCTTTCTTGCATTCAGTTTTATCTCTGCGCTAAAGAGTCCTGCCAAAGCTGTTCTCACCGCTACAGGTATCCACAAATTGTTCACAGCTACTTTAAACCTGAGCGTTACTTATACCAATTTGGGATATGTTACAAATTACTCAACTTACAGTATCTCAGCTGACAGCAAAATTACAAGGAACATTGCTTATTTTAGGTTCAATTTCAACAAAATTTAAGTATTTACGGGAAAAAAAAATGAGATGGCAGGTTTTTTTTTATAGCAGAGCCATACCAGAAAAGAGGTCTTTGGATCAGTGATGTGCACAACAGATGCATTATATTTTTTCAGCTTAGTTTAGGATTCAGGGAAAAAACCTTCTAGTGAAAAATCATCAAAAGAAAATATTTGCCATTATTTACATAGATCTTGTTTTGGGAAAGCACTGAACAATCCAGTCTTCACTGTTGATTCTTCTGTTTCTTAAAAGCTTAAGGTATATGTTTAAGGTATGTGTTTAATTGCAATAATATGGCAGTTTTTCAGTGGCAGATAGAAATACACCTTTTTATTCATGGAGTTCTCTCAAAGAGTTTAGTACTTTAATTCCAGCTGGCATTTTTAAAGGAATCATTTCAAGAGGTGGCCTTTGATCCAAAATATATTGAATTGTCTTCTACATAGCTCTTTTGGTCTAACCAGTCTAAGTTGAAAGCACTACAAAACTTAATCACTAAAAATGTTGATAGTTTCAAGATAGCAAAAAATCATTTGCAAAAGCACCACATAATAAAGGTCAGCTATACTGCAATTAAAAAATTGAGTTCTCTTTGAACTGCAGGAACGCAAAGTCCTGTGCAGACAACACCTAGCTACTTCTTTTTTGCTTTCATATTTTAAAGCCAGCTTTTTTTTGTTTCAGTTTTGAGATGGAGAGCAGGAGAACAAATCACAGCCTGCCTCAAGCTGCATGAGGACATTTTTATGATTCAACTATAAACCACTGAAATGGGGGTTTAAAGGCAATACTGGCAGGCCTCTAAGCAGAGCAATACGGCACCTCTGTCATTAGGAGCGCCACAGATCTCCCCATGAGTCCAGAGCCCTGGAATCCTTTGGGGACCACAGGAACAAACACTAGCTCATACACTCGTGCACACACACGCGTGCACACACATAGATATATGTCTATATTTGTGTGCATGTGTATACTCATTTATATATAAAAAAGCAGCTCTCATTCTCCCTGGAAGGGTGCACGAGCCCAGGGAGGTGATGGGAGCCCCCTGCCCGGCGCTCGCCCTGGCCAGGACCTGCGGCCGCGCAGAGGGCGGCGCTGGGCACCGCATTTCAAAGCAAACCGGGAGAAACCTGTAGAAACCTTCACCTGTGAACCTGAAGACACGTTCCCTTGGGGTGTAAAAACTGCACTATGTTGCACAACGGAAAGAGTAAAGCATTTTATGAAGCAGAATCCTTTCAAAAATCTCTGTAACAGAAGTCTGGATTCTTAAATTTCAAACTGAGAAACATTTAGCATTGAAGTTTACTTTCCGAAAAGACTCATTTTAAGAGTTTCTGTTACTTATTAATAGCAAAAATTAAAACTACATACTTAATGACCAAACAAATCTAACAGTTGCTACCACAGGGCACCTTCAAACTGGGAGCTCGTTCACATTTGACATGAGTATTGCAATAATACTCAAAAACCCTTTGGCAAAAGAGCTACCTGTCCAGTTTTATAAGTCTAACCCAGCCTTTGTTAACTACGCTGCAGAAGGATTTGAGGACAAAAAAGCAAAGGGGATTCAATACTGCAAGTGATGAAATACATAATGGAAATATTAGAGTAGCTACTTCTTTTTTGCTTGATGGCAGGTTTTAAAGTGTGATGGCAATGCCCTATCTGAAAAAAACTTCTGTGTTTTTAACAACATAACTATCCAAATAACTATGTATTAGTTGGATGACATGTAACGATTTATTATTTTATCTTACATTCCTGCAGTTTATTTTATCATTTTCAAAGCAGTGCAATTGAAAGTAATTCTCTTAATGGTTTATGAATGTCACTAAAACTGATTCTGTAATGGGCCTCATTCTTTTCTTTTTTCCATGAATGCATTTGAGGTTAGTTGGCCTAGTCCTCAGAGAAGTGATTTTTCTACAGTAACTAGATTTGATCTTTTAAGCATAGATTTGCGGTGGAAATCCACAGGTTGAAGGCAGCTCAATCACACTGCCTCAAACTGGAGTTTCACTGGTGGAGTCTCTAAGTGCCCTGGGATCCGGACTCCACAAACTCTTCAGTTTACTGCAGGCCGCTATACCTGGAGACTCATATTTTTATTTAAAATTCAACTTCTTAAATTGTTGTGGCAGCTGTAGTATTCTTGAATTCTTCTACATTACTGATAACAGTGTGGACAGCAATCCCTCAACATCTCATAGTCACGGATTTTCAATTAATCTGTCACCAGAACTATTCATACTGACAGGTTTGATAAGAGCAAAGACAGAACAGGATAAACGCACAAAATGCATTATTTTCCTTTTGCTCTTTTTGTCTCCCATACGCCTGACAGGCAACGAGCAAAGCAATTACAGTTGCAATGAAACTACTTAGATTTCCAACAGACCAACAACTATCCCAAAATGGAGAAACACTGACCAAGTTTCTAAACTTAGGAAGAAGTTGATTCAATATTCAGCAAATGCTGAACAAGCACTAATAAAGGCAGGCACGAATTCAAAGCAAATAGTTTTGAAATACATCACAGGAGCAAGTTTCTCATGTCGTCAAGTCTCACGGTCAGGTCATGACATCTACTGGATTAGCCAGCTTGAGACCACAAAGCTTTTTGAAACTGCTGGCATGGGGAGCAGTAAGTTATCAAATCTTCTTCATTAAAGCTTGAAATGTTTTGGATTGTCACTCTTCAGTTGATGTAACTTTGTATTTCAAACACTCGTTTTCCATGTTAGCAAATTACATTCAAATCATTAGTTATTGTTCAGTATTTTAAATACCTAAAACCTGCAACACCATACTGTATTGTATAGTCTAATATATAATAATATATGCCCAAATATTTTAAATACAATATGGTCGTTTCATAAATGACTCCAGGCTGGCCAAACTTTGTTGTGATGTCACTTATCAATGATGATACTGCACAAACAAGAAAATGTTGAAAATTCAATTCATTTCAGAAAATACTGCTAGATTAACATACATCAAAACTGAACATACCTAGGCAGCTAGAGATAACTGTAAACATTAAAGTCCTCATTGGGAAAAAGGAAGGAAACCCTTTTATTTTTTTCCTGGAAGATTAATTTTTTCATTCATACACATAGTATTTATAAAAGTATTCATTAGCATCATTCAAAAAATCTGGATGTATCCCCTGGCCCACAAGATAAAACTAACCAAAATGAACAAGTCTAGGATGCTCCTGTTGTTAAGATTACAATTTTGGAGTTGCAGTGCAAAAGAAAGTGTTAAAGTAGCAAGATCCTGTTGGGCGTGAAACTTGGAAAAAAAGAAAAGACAGCATCTGTAAATGTTAAGAGCTTTGCAGATGAAACAGGAGAGGGAGACTTGGGATGTTTAAAGAACAAAATATAAACTGCTTTGTGAAAATGCTGTATTGAAGTATTGCTACAGAAACAGTTTCAACAACTCTGAGCAACTAATTAACAAGACTAAAATGTTTGTGCTTACCTCAGTAACGACATGCTCAGAGAGCTGCACTCTTTTTACCCTGTATGTTTTTTTTTTTTACCTACTACCCATATTTTCAGGGTACTTCTATGAAAAATAAAAAGTAGAATCATCAGTCTGCACTAATGTTTCTTGGTCACTCTTCCCTCTTAAATTCATCAATCTGTTTTTTCTTTGATACTGAAAGTTTTGTACTGCCCATATACTACCAGTGCAGCGGCAGAAAAAAGAACCCTGTTACTTGAACATATCAACGAGTCATGTCCTTCCAGTGAACCTGACAAAATAAACTTAAACTGTTTTAAAAAGAAAAAAAAATATGTTGTAATTAGAGGCAGCTGGCAACACTATTAATTTGGTGAACATAGGTTCACTCTTCAGGATTTGTGAAGCAATCAAAGACTTCATATCCCCTTGTTACAACCCTATTTCTGCTTTGTCAGTTCATTCTTTTCGAAAGTTGAGCCAAACCCAAGTTCTAGTCAAAAATCCTACTATGATATCTCTCTCTCTTTTTTTTTTCTCTCCTTTGAAAAGATTCTGAGCTTGTTGCAGGGTGTTATATCATTTTATTGTAATAAATTTAGAAGGAGTTGTCAAACTTAGAGATTGACTTTTAGATTTTATGACATTTACACCGTCCTGTGCTGGTTCAGTGCCTGGAATGCCATCCCCATCTGTACAAAGAGATTCCTAAACATGTACGTATCCTGAGGAAACCGGTGATCAAACCAGGCGTTATTTCCACATGGTAACACTGCACAGAGCTTTCTGTACAAAATGCAATGACTTAACATGCTTCCATTTTTCTCCTGTATTTAGTCATGAAGCCCATTTACTCTGAAACAGCTTGGAAACGAGATGCTGTTTGCTAAATTCTGAACATCACAGATATTTCAGATATTTGACCCATCTTCTCCTGAGCTTCTCCTAAGTAGGTGAGCATGAACAGCTAAGAAAATCTGTTACCTTACTGATTCTCTTACTGGCTTTGACAGCATGTTTGGTTACTACCACTATATTCCTTGCAGCATGAGCATACAAAGAGAAGATAGATGGATCTGCCTGGATTTCACTCATTTTATTGCATTCATCTTTA